TCTCGATCACGCCCTTCTCAATCTGCTCCTTCTGATACTCTTCCAAAGCCGGAATCCCGACATGCTCAGTATGCCACGTGTTCTTGTACTTCATAAGATTCTCCTTGCCCTCCTTCATTACCTTCAGTATCAGACTAGGAACATATGGCTCGTCTCTGAACTCGGTCACTGGTGTGAAGAGAGCTTTGAAATTGAATACAATGGCGCCTGACAGTGGCAAGCGGCGCAGAGTTTGCCAATCAACGCGCAGATGTAGGCGTTCAGGTGTGAGATCTGGTGACTGGAAATCGCGGTATTTCTCATGAGGGTCACCTGCAGCAAAGTCAGCTTTACCAACCAGATCGACCGCAGCACGAAGAACATAGCTGGCTTACCTGGTGGCATATAGAGGGGCTGATCGACTTCCAAGCCCCATGAACCACGCTGAATTGGCTTCTCGGTAGGCATTTTCGTGAAGAATCTGCATTTTCATGGTCAGCCTTGCTGCAGATACCGTATCGATAGAACTTGCCTATCCATGCTGAACTGCATCTTCTCCTTGTAGTCAGGGATGACAGCATGAATTTCATGCAACTGCTTGCCAATCTTCGTACCCGTGTTCCAGCCCAATGCAGAACAAATCATACCAGCTCGGAAGTGGTAGTAACCAGTCTGTGGATTTCGTAGCATGAGTGCAAAATCCTCTGGGACGTTGTCCAGGAGCACGAGCAATGGGTGCTTCTCTTGAACGACTTGCGTCGTGCCGAGAATTTTGTTCTCGAAGATCGTCTTGCTAGCATCAGACGGCGACGGGTAGAGAGAAAAAAACTGCGGGTGCCTGCTGCAGTAGAACTGCAAAGCCATCTCCATCAATTCTTTGCACGCAAGCTCCGAACCCGGTAACCACTGTAGCACCGCTTCACCGTGCTGAGCATACAAAGACTTCCGCTGTGTGATGCGGCTCGTGTAAGTACTTTCGAGTTCGAGCCACCAATCAGTTTCCATCCTCATAAGGCTCATGGTCTGGTGATAAGCCCATCGAAATGGTCTGTACGGTCGAGGCTGTGCGGTGTTGAGGTTGAATTCCTTGTAGGGTTGAGGCAACGGTACGCCGGACAGGGTGGCATAGTTCGGGAAATCTCCGAGGGCTTTGATCTCCTTGACGGAGAAGCCAGTGTAGACATACTTTGAAGGATCAGCCTTTCGGTAATCCTCCTCAAAGCTAAGTAAAGATCTCTCGAAGTTTTCTTGGTGAAAGCTGAGGTCGCCAAGGGCTTGTCGTTGCTTTGATGGTAGTGATTGTGCCAGCTCTGCCAGCACGTGTCGTTGAGACGGCGGGTATTGTCTGACAAACTCGTTTGCTTTCGGACTCGTGTTGCTCGGTGTTTTCTTCTCTGGGGAAAGAGAACGCGGTGGCGTATCAGCTGAAGACGGACGACGTCTTCTCAGACGGAGCCTTCCGACTACTACATCTCGTTGTCGTTGGCTCAGACTAAGGTAGGATATTGCGCACAGACATACTGCTATGGCAGTATACAGGATGTTTCGCTCAGTTAGATATGACAACATGATCGCTGATGGAGAGCGAATGCAGAGGTAGAGTTCGTCAGGATACTGGGTGGTGTGAGTGGTGTTCGTCGTCCGATGACTCGTTTCTTTGTTCCTGAGACTCGGCGTAGTCGACCATTTGATTCATGTATACATAACGAAGCTGACCTCTCGTGGTTTCTGCACGAATTGCGAAGCTTAAGAACCAGATCAGGAAAACAAATCACTACAAGTCATATCAGTTGGAGGATAATTCGATCATGATCCGGGACAAGGCTCATGCTATGACCAGCGTGGAGCGTGCCGAGCACATATACTCTGACGCTACCCATCCAGGATGGACAGTAGTCGTTCAAGCATGGTAGGTAGCTGCCGTTCACACAAGCGGCTATCTAAGCTGGGCGCAGGACAAGAGAGGGCAACCCCACACTTCTTTGTGGAGCCACAGCGTTCTTCGGAACAGAGCTGCCAGATGGAGGTTGATAGCGTGAACTTCTCGAAGGGCTGGATCTGACATGCAGCCCGTGCATTGATGTTTAGCCCGGCGTATCTGCAGGAGGGGGAGACAGACAACTCAGGCCTGCCACTGAACAACGATATCGATATCTCGACTGGCCCACGTTGATTGGAATTTGGGCTATGAGCTAGTGGCTAGATGCTTGGACAGCTTGCCTGTTTCGAGATTAGAGTGGTGATTCGGGGATGATAGTTTTGTGATTGGCGGAGATTTGCGAGTGCTTTTGAACATCGAACTTCTGGTTAGCTCTTTCCGGCAAAACTGTCCACGACCATGTAAATCGCAAAGGATCATCTGTAGCCGTGCTCAGAGCAACGTGATTCAGCCCTTTCCTTGTATAAATTTGCGTCTGGCAGATTGAGCATCGACGATCGAATGTCTTACCAATAAATATTGAAATCGAGTACAGTTTAGGTATTCTCATGTACCACATGCCACACTTGGCTGTGTAACAAAGGTCGCAGTACAAGTGTCAGCGGTTCTTGGAAATGATGTCGTCGACGTCGCATAGCCGCATCAGTCTTCGTAGTGTTCGGGAGACCAATTAGAGGAAAGCAGGGCATTGTGTCCTATATATTTCAGTTATGCTGTGCCAGGGCAACTATGTCATACCTCGAACGTTTTCGTCTGTGCCATGCTTGCCGAAGGGAGGAAAGTTCTCGTCTCTGAATAGGCTGCTACCCGAGATCCATGTGCGGCTCAGCTACTGTGCTCGAACAGCAGTCAAGGAACCATCGTAGGATGTGCTGAAGCTCTTTCGACATCTAAACGAAACCTTTCAAAGTTAGCCCACTCCCTACCACCCTTTTCCTACACCTATGTTTTCGGATACCAGGTGCAACACCTCTGTCAGATCAATCTCGTATAATGCGAGCGAGGGCAGCCGCGAATGAAAGCGTAAGCTGGAAGCACAACAGCTTTGTGCCAGCTCAGAAGATGTGCGACAGACATGCGGAAGCAAAACAACCCTAAGTCGGATCTGTGTAAAAAGTGTTTCAGTACCTGACCACTATAGCTGGCGTCGAAACGATCAACGTGGGAGTACGCTGGGAGGAGTATGCTCCTGGTACTGGGGGCCGCGTTGTGGACTTCTTGCAAGATGGTACTCATGCTGGAATCCATATCGAGGACAAAGTAGTTGCCATGAATGCCGGCAGAAAGTGCGAGACACGAGGGCGCTCATTGCCGTCGCGTATGGGTGCAGGGTGTATGGGAAGTCGTGGACAAGAAGAAACCGAAGTAAGGGAAGTCGCGCAGTACAGGAGACTCGGTGTGACTGCCATTTAGAGTATTGAACAAATCGTGATGTCGCGTGTTTGCGCTACCAGAGCTTGATACATGGCATAGAGAGTGCACGCTTGTGCTTCGCGGTAGCATCATCGAGCTATGGTTAGCATCATCGAGCTATGGTTAGCATCATCGAGCTATGGTTGGCACCATCATGTTTCAAGTTCGAGGTTGACAAGAGTGCGCAGGCTTGCAAGATCAAGACTCAATTTCGCTATGTTTGTTTGTTGGCTTTGCACGTATTTCATCAGTGCCGAGTGCCTCCAATCTGAAGGCACGGCTGCGGAGTACTCTTGGTGACCATGAACTTGGAATCCGAAGCACCTCACACCCATCAACAATGCTGAGGCGGCAGACACGTTGAGTTGAGGCACCATGGATGTCGTCTATCACACAGATTATCAATGGCCTCTTTCGCACCACGGCAGGTGTATGATCACCTGTCGTCAATACCACGTTCCTATTTCTTAGGACATCATGCTGCCGGTCTATCGAAGATGAAAGGCCTGCTAGCATCCATCGATCTTGTCGTCGAATGTCGAGATTACAGAACGCCCCTTGTATCTCGGAATCCTCTTTTCGAGCAGAATCTAGGCGAGCGACCTCGTCTTATCGTCTACACCAAACAAGACTTGGGCAGCAACTTCACAGCTGCGGACAAAAGGGTATGTGCGCCTTGCTAAAGGGAACAGGAGACAAGCTGATTTGTGAAGAGAGAAGAAATAGTACGCAAATGGGATGCTCCGGCGACGTCCATGTTCTCGGACATCAAGTCTCGAAACACCATCCGCAATATCCTTGACTTCACCAGGGCACATGCGAAGGACTCTACTTCTCTGTTCGGCACCCGACTGATGGTAGTCGGCATGCCAAATGTTGGTAAGTCTTCGCTGCTGAACGCTTTACGCAACGTGAGCCTCGGGAAAAAGAAAGCCGCGCAAACGGGCAATCAGCCTGGTGTAACGCGAAAGATCGGCACCAGTGTTAAGATCTTGGAAGGTGAAAATGGCAAGGAGGGTGCATACCTCATTGATACCCCTGGCGTCTTCATACCATACGTTCCGGACGCCGAAAGTATGCTGAAGCTAGCATTGTGCGGAAATGTCAAGGACACCATCATACCACCGACTACCATTGCGGATTATTTGCTTTTTCATCTCAACCTACAGGACCCTACACTATACAGTTCGTACAGTGAACCGACGAATGACATCTTTGTTGTGCTGGAAGCGTTGGCTCGGAAGCAAGGTAGGCTCAAGAAGGGTGGCTTGCCGGACTTCGAGTCTTCAGCTTTGCAATTCGTCCAGAAGTGGAGAGGGGGCCACATGGGCAAATTTGTCCTTGACAACGTGTCGGAGGAGGCTTTGACGGAGCGGATGCGCACGCTTGAGCTGATGGGCGGGAGCATGCACCAGGCGAAAAAAGCTGCGAAGCAGTTGAAGAAGGAATCTTATGTGCTTGATGCTTGAGGGTATACAGGGTTATCGTCAGTTATCAGTTGGATCCCGCATTGCGAATCAAAAATGGATCTGGCCTTCTCGAGTTTCTCCCCAACTCACCTCTGTTAACCTAGTCGCCAATCGGTCTGCCGCATTCTGCGATGTTACCAGACGACGAAAGATCAAAAAAAGTCGCAAAAAGAATCGCTGCTTGCAAGCGTCAGGAATTGAGCCCGACGTGGGGGTCGAACCCACAGCCTCAAGATGGATCTGAATAAGAGTCTTGCGCTCTACCGATTGAGCTAGCCGGGCAAGATGTGTGGGTTGATTTGTGACAGAAGTTTGCAAAATCAATATTATGATACCCATGGTGGAATAATTCAAGATTAGTGCGTGAGGAAATTTTGAGCCTCGGTCTCCACCTGGAACTTCAGGCCTCAAGGCAGCTACTCTTCAAAATCAAACCTCTTTGTGAGAATCATTCGCTTTGCTAAAGGTACGCAAAGATATTACAGAGTTATCGTACGCTTAGGCTACGAGACTAGACGCTCTCTCTCGTTGACGCCTGATCCGAGCTCGATACGACCATGAGCGCCCCCTAGGCAATCCCTCTTTCAAAGCCATACCTCAGCTTTATCTCCGAGGAACAGCTTGATACCCTATGCGAAACCTCATTTTCAGTCTCAGACTCATCGAAGTTACTTTCCAATTGAGTCTTAGATACTCGATCATCCACGCACCAGTCACCTCTCTGTGTTTCTAGACTGGGGAAGTGGTCCAACAGATTTCTGCCATCGCTTATTTGCATCTCTCGGATATTGAGAGTTCTCACGCTAGGGTTTGAATGCAGGTGGTCGAGAGAAAATCACGAAACACAGCAAAAGACCACCTGATTATTAAAGCTAGCCAGCTCGATTACAGCGGCTCAGCCTAACGAAATTCTTCGCAACCCTCCCACTATCAGTGACATTTTTGGGCCAGAGGCCATTGGTCGACTACCTTCTTTCTGACATCAATTTAGCCACTCGTGACAATCCATGGTCCATTTTAGCAGCGTTGGCCTTCTTACAATGGCACGGATTTCATCAAAGGGACACACTAGTTGTCATGGACACTTATATGGGCAAGACTCGCAAAGCCCAGACTTTGATTCGAGCCGTGAGGAGGGAATACTTCTTGAACAACAGTCTGGTACTGCGAGCTACGTTACCAAAGTAAAGGTGGGAGCCGGGGTGCGGTACGATCAAAATGCTGTCCACTGCACTTGCGTTGATAGAACTGAATGCGAATCAAAACAACCGCCAATGGTTTCTATATGGGTCAGTTTCTAGCATACATGGCAGATTCCCTAATACTGTGGGCTTGAATTCAGGCCCTCGTCGGTCATGACTCAGCATCACACTGATGTCACCACAACCTTTGCTCTGACCCTTTTCACCTCGTGATAGAAAGCCTCGGCGAGAAACGCAACAGAGCAGACTGCGTGCGGGCTGTGGACGACAGTTGAGGAGAAGATTGAGCGAAGGGCTTGCCAGAGTAGAAGGGCCGGTACATATTATATATGTATACATATATATCTTCTAGTCAGTATCTGCTTGAATAGGAGATGGAGAAGCACTGATAAAGAGACTGCAACACAGGCGGGACATTTATCATTCGCTTCTTCGAACACGATTTCGATCATTCTCTCAAAGAAGTCGCAAATCGGACCACGTCCAGATACTAGTACGTAGATAAATCCTCCGCCAGTGCCAAGACTTCCGCTCCAAGGCTTAAATGCCGCGATCACTGGCTGGAGCGTAAACGGTCAATTGTTTCTCTCACATTTCGTGACGCGAAATTGAGACCTTTCAATCAAATCACAGTCTTGTACTCTTCTCCAAGCTCACTACCCTCCTTCCGCATCTTGAACCACCGGAAGCGCACCACTGCGTCCTCGTCGCAAACATGTCTACCGAAATGGAAGTCGACACCAAGCCTCCCGCAGAAGAGGACGGCACCAACTCTCCTGTCAACAAGAAGTCCTCTACCACCACCGAAGCCAAAACTGTCGAGAACGCAGTCGCAGTACGAAGTATCGAAGGCTGGATCGTAATCGTGACAAATATCCACGAAGAAGCCTCAGAAGAAGACATCACAGACCTCTTCGCAGAGTACGGAGATATCAAGAATCTACACCTCAATCTTGATCGCAGGACTGGTTACGTGAAGGTGAGCAACAACACGGTTTGCTGCGACAGTACTAACAAACCCAGGGCTACGTTCTGATCGAATACCCAACACAATCCGAAGCCTCAGCCGCGATCCAAGCACTCAACGGCACGAAACTGCTCGATCAGACTATCAATGTGGACTACGCATTTGTGCGACCGCCGACGAAGGAGAAACCAAGAGGCGGCAGGCAGGGCAACAGAAACCGAGGGCGAAGCAGGAGCCGAAGCAAGACTAGAGAGCGCAGCAGATCGAAGAGCAAGAGTCGCGAGAGGAAGTCGAGAAGTCCTGATGAGCGGATGGATTAGAAGTCCAATCCTGCACAGAAGATGAGATATCACAACCGGAAAGAGCCTGCGGTGCGATACTAGCCCTAGAGGACATCTCGCGGCGCCTAAGGCGAGGCAGGTCCACGACGTGCGTGGTCGAACTGCTCGCCTTGAGAGTGGCGGTGGGAGAACTAACATTATGCCGACCGGCGATGGCTGCCACATATGGTCGGCCAGGTAGAACCAAAATGATATGGTAAGGACACCATGTTAGACAAGTATGGGCTTGACTAATGACGATGCAGATGCCACGAAGTTTCGAGCACGATACCACAGCACTTCTATGATCGAAGCCCCAGCTCCTTACAGAGGACATCCATTAAAATCAAGGCAGGGCAGCACTGACAACCAGTTCTAGCTTGCGTCCAGTCCCACAGAAAGCCCGAACATCATGGTCAATACCTCTTGCGTCCTGGACTACATCTTTACAAGGTAAGTCAAGTTTCGCCGCGATGCACTACGCTTTGACCCTGTCGCGCTTTTCGAGGCCAAGACGGTACAGCGATATGTAGTACTGCATGACTAAGGTGAGTGTGTTGAGGAGCCACAAGGGTCGAACAGGCATAATTTAGCCGCAAGCAAGCATATACAGCCACGAGTCGGCTCCCGGCTCAACCGAAACGATACTACTAGAACCCATGCGATATGAGTACAACTGCGCAGCCAAGATATCGGTGTATTGCATGTTGGCTTGAGAAACATGCTAGCGCCGTGCCTGCTCACAGCGGGCGGTTGCAATAATGCTAAATACAAGGTCCGGACGAAGTATAAAGATGACTCCTAATCTTGGTGTCGAAGTATACCAAAGCCTCGAGAAAGCGACCGCTCAGCAGTACTGGGACTCCTATCGCGCGCGCTCGGAAGACCTGGCTGCAAGTTTCTCCATGTCGCAATCTGTATCTCGGGAGCACCAGTGCACATGAAATTAGGGCCTCGCCATCTGATGTCGCGGCTGGTTGCAAGGAACTGCAAATGCTACGGAATGTTCTCAGGTAGGACAGTGCTAACCTATACTCTCTACAAGCAAATGATGCGTACGTCGCGTAATGACATGTGACCAGCGAGAATGAATTATCTCATGGCCTCCTATCATATACTCCGTACACAACTAAATAACAGTGTTACTCACCATACAGCGGAGATCAGCTTGCGAAAAGAGGTCCTCATACGCACTTGATCCTTGACTACCTTCACGGCGCAAGCAACATGTCGTGCGTAAGATTACAACGAGCACACCACAGTAGCACAAAATTCCCGAAAAAGTACTTCGAAACGTTTCGGACTCCCATTCAACGGTCCAGAACGAGCATCCAGCAAGTTTCATGAACCGACACGGGTTACTTTTTCTGATTGACCGCTGGAGCCGCGCTAACATTCGGTTGTTTCACGGTTCGTTCTTTCTATCCCAGCCAATCACATTAAGCGCCCCTGACCACCTCGAACCGGTCCCTCTCCACCATGACTACACAAAGACAGGCATATCCAAGTTCATCATAGTCCTCTTATCTCTTACTCAAGCATGCTGATCTGCAAACATATGCATTTCGACCAGAAGTTACCGCTGAAGGGGAGTTCGAAGAAATGATGAGGGTGAAGGTGGATGGATGTGACCCACGATTCTTTGTTGATGGTCGTTGTTATGATAACTTATTGATATAACTGTCGTTTTTTCCTCTCGAGTCTTGTTGTTTTCTGCTAACCTGTACTACTCACCACACTCATTGACTTTCTGTTCTGTTCAATCAGGTCTGCGACCTGTGCCGTTCATTCATTTTCAAGTTCGCTAGATCGAACGCTTCATTCATTCATTCATTGAAACAGACACCGATCTACTCTTCACCAACAATCCCACCACTTACCCAAGCACCTCGACCAATAACACAAGCACGAACCCACTACAACCACACCATGAAATCCTTCACCATCGCTGCTCTAGCAGCCCTCCTCCCCGCCATCGAGGCACACACCCGCTTCACCACCCTCGCCATAAACGGCCAGTCCCAAGGTGACGGCACCTGCATCCGCATGGACCCAAACCCAAGCACCACAACCGGCTTCATCTCCGGCCTTTCCAGTCCAGACATGGCCTGCGGCGTCGGTGGCGCCACAGCCGTAAACCGCACCTGCAGTGCCTCCCCCGGCGACTCCCTCTCGCTCCTGCACCGCTCCTGGGCAGACGGCGCTCAACCGGGGAGTATCGATCCGAGTCACAAGGGGACTACGGCTGTTTACATGAAGAAGATGGGCGGTGTTGACTCCACCGATCCATATGGCAACGAGGCGACGGGTGACGGCTGGGCCAAGATCATGTACGATGGGTTCAGTGATGGGTCCTGGGGAACCGAGAAGATGATTAGTGCGAATGGCATCGTGGGCACCAACATCCCCAGTGATATCGCGCCGGGATATTACCTTGTCCGTTCTGAGATCCTCGCAATGCAGAATGTGGAGGATGGGGAGAACCCGACTATCCACCCGCAGTTTTATGTTGGCTGTGCGCAGGTCTTCATTGGTGGATCTGGCAGTGGCGAGTTGACTAACGCTGATACGGCGACGATCCCAGGATATGTCGATGAGAGCACGCCATTCAACAGCTACAACATCTACAAGTCTTTCCCGCCTGCGCAGCCGTTCGAGGAGTTCGGACCGAAGGTTTACGGATCTGACGACAATGCCAACGTCAACGTCAACGCCAAAGTCGCTGCTACCTCCACAGACTCCACCTCCACCACAACCACCCCCTCCATCGTCGGCGCCTGCCCCCCCTCCACA